AATGATACTCAATAGTGAAAAGTTAAAAGCATTTTCCCTAAGATCAGGAACAAGACAGTGATGTCCGCTTTCACCACGTCTATTCAACATAGTATTGGAAGTTCTAGTCACAGCAACCAGACAAGACAAAGAAATAAAAGCAGCCAAATAGGAAAGAAAGAAGTAAAACTATCATTATTTGCAGATGATATCATGCTATATAAAGAGAACCCTAAAGAGTCCACCAAAAAATCTATTAGGGAACTGATAGATCAATTCAGCAAAGTAGTAGGATACAAATTTAATATTCATAAATTGGTTGCATTTGTGTACAAACTATCAGAAAGAAAAATTAAGAAAACAACCCCACCCTGACTGGTATGGCTCAGTTGATTGGGCACCATCCTGCAAAGCAAAAGCTCGCTGGTTTGCCTCCCGGTCAGGGCACGTGCCTGGGTTGCAGGTTCATTCCCGGCTGGGGCTCATACGACAGACAACTGATCGATGTTGCTCTCCCTCTCCTTCTCCCTTCCTTCCCCTCTCTCTAAAAATAAACCAACAAAATCCTTAGAAGTAAAAATAAAAAAATAATATTGTAATAACTATGTATGGTGTCAAGGCGGTGTTAGACTTATCACAAGGGACCACTTCCTAAGTTATATAAATATTAAACCACTATGTTGTACACCTGAAACTAATATAATATTGAATGTCAACTGTACCTGAAAAAAACATATTATACATCTCTTATATTTTGTTTCCTTACATAACAAATCAGCACTCACACGCCAATAAAAAAATAAAATACTATTTTAATTATTATATTAATTATATGGCTGCACCATAATCTACTTAATTGATTTTCTACCATTACTTATTATTTAGGTGATTCCTAATATTTCGTTGTATAAATAAATAGATTTTTACCTCAAAAAAACAACAACATCATTCAACAATGTATCTCAGCTCTTGTGGCATAAAATAGGTGTTCTGTAGGTATATGTTGAATAAATGAAAACATTAAAAGTAAGTTATCCTGCCCTGGCTGGCGTGGCTCAGTAGATTGAGTACTAGTCTGTGAACCAAAAGATTGCCGGTTCGATTCCCAATCAGGGCACATGCCTGGGTTGTAGTCCAGGTCCCCAGTTGGGGGTGCTCGAGAGGCAACCACACATTGATGTTTCTCTCTCTCTCTCCCCCTTCCCCTCTCTCTAGAAAGAAATAAAATCTTTTTTTAAAACAAGGAAAAAAACGTAAGTTATATTGTATATTTTTCTCTCTGTACATCTCTGACCCACCTCCTCTTCCCCACAAGCTGGGACCCAGCTCCCAGAAGGTGCTCGACACACCCAGAAACACTCAGAGGTGGTAAGAGATTTTATGACCATCAAGCTTTTCTGTCCCATCAGCTCACCAAAGGGGTTAGGACCTCTCCAGGGTCTTTATTCTACCTCTGAGAAGAGGTAATCAAGCAAAATGGACAATGGAGGACATATGGGGTTCAGAGATGCTACGAGACTGAGTAGAGGTCAGTAGCAGATGCCCTCCTGGCGTGGAATGCACGGAGGAAGGCTAGAGTGTGGTGGAGGTCTGCGTTTGCCCTAAATTGCAGAACAAACAAATACCCTCTGACCAATGAGCTGCACCTTCTGAGAAATGGCAAAACTCCTGAAACATGTTCTTTGGAAATCTCATCCCCTCAGGACACAGCTACAGACCTCACTAGGCACCACAGGCTCCCTTGGTGTCCTCTTCCCACCCTCCTCTCCCTTCCCCTGGGGCTGGGGAGGCAAAAGTATCCAACAACAAAGGCCTGGAGGCGAGGCCTCTGGTGTCACCTTCAGAAGCAGAGAAGGCCTTTCTGTAGAGAATAAAATCGCATTTCTGATCACGTCTTCCTGCTTCTGGTCATCCCCAGCCCCTGAAAGTCCTGAGCATCTCCAGCATACGCGGTACCAAAAATCCCAAACTCTGTTTCAAGAAACATCTAGAAAAGCAGCACAAACAACACAGGAGCTGTAACTGGGTACAGGAGACCATATTCTAGCCCAGCATGGCCACAAAGAGGTTCTTAGATGGGGTGCTACTGGGGCTGGGCCTTGATGGGTGGAAGTCGCTGGGCCCCATGGTCACAAGAAGGAAGCAGACGGAACAGGACGTGCAAACAGTACTGAAAACAAGAACTAAAATGTACCCAGTGCTTACTCTGTGCATGGCGCTGAGCTAAGCATTTTATGCATAATAATTGACATCTCACAACCTTCTGACGTAGGTACTGTTAACATACTAGATGAAGAACCCAAGGTCCAGAGGGGTTAAATAATTTGTTTAAGGTAACCCAGTAATTGGCAGGGCTGGGATTCAAACTCGGGTTTGTCTAACTACGAAGTCTACCACGCTGTGTGCACCAAGAACTGGGAGCATGGCTTGGGAGACGGAAAGCAATACGTGTGACAGAGCAAGGGAATCCCTCAGTGTCATGCTAAAGGTCTGTATGGTGGAAACCAGACTGGGCTGCCGAGCATTCCTGGGTTTGGCGATTCGGGTCCACAAGGGGGCCGTGTCCAGAGCAGTGTTGGAGGAAAAATGGATTTACATGTTTATGGAGAATGATGGAGGGTTTTCTGGGGAAAATGGGAACCCCATGGCCTCAGAAGCTGGGAGGCTTGCGGGGTCGGGGGGACAGGTAGGGATAGGCAGGAGTCAGCAGCAAGAATGAGGAAAGCCTGGAAGAGAAACAAGTCTACCAAATGCCAGTTGGCACTCAATGGAGTCCACCTTCAGATTTAAGGAAAGATCTTCCTCCAGTCCCAGTCAGTCCACAAAACTCACGTTAAGTCCTATCTGTGTGCCAGGCCCCGCCCCAGACGGCCTCTCCTGTCTCCCCTCCCTTTTCAACAGTGAGGACGATTAGGCTGCTGATAGGCTCCTACAATCCAGCACTCTCAGTGCTCTCGTCTCTTTCCCCACCTCCTCTACTTCCGTAAGTAGGTGAACAGCCTTTTTTTTTTTTTTGCACATTTATGTTAAAACCATAACATATACAATTGTATTTTAATTTCAGTAAGTTTTAAAATTTAAAGGTATTTTTGCATTATTGCAAGATAAACAAAAACTAGCTTTTTAAATTGAGTTCACTTTTAACCTCAATACACTTTTTATTTGTAAATTTCCTCCAGAGGGTGAATGATCTGGTCATCTTCCCCCTCCAGCTACCATGAGACTAGGGTAAGAGCACACTTGCGGGTCAGGGATGGGAACTCACATCCCAGCCGCAGTGCCCTTCGCTACCACCTGGCGGAGGTGGAGGCGGCGAAGACCGGAATCGGGGACATCTCTAATTCAGTAAATTTGAGGCTCTGTGTGCTGAGAAGGGGAACTCAGTTTCTAACAATTCTTGTGCTAAGAAACCCTATTCCACAAGCATCCTTCTTGCTGAGGGTTTGGGTCTTACTGGCCAAATACAAGTGTATGAACTTCCAGACCTGTAGGGCCACGCCTTGCTCTCCCAAACACTGCCTTCAGAAGACTCTGCTCGGCCAGTGGTTCCGCGATGGGAAAAAACTCTAACGAGGCTCAGCAATTCCCCAGGAAGGTTCACCCCACGGCCAACGCGAAACCTGAATGATCCCAAATGCTTTGGGTGTATATGTTAGTAGGGAAGTGAGGGACTTTTCCGCTTAGTTTCCGTAAACGTTACCACGAGACAGCTCACTCTGGCTACGTCACGGTAAAGGGACTGGCATGGGCACATCTCGCACCGACCAACCACTCTCGAGAGACGTGAGGCGGCCCCGACAGAGGCGAACCATTGTGATTTTAAAGCCTTGTTTGCGTTTGGGCCTGGGCCGGGCCGCAGCTGGAAGGAGATCCGCTTCCAGCGCACCCATCAGCCCCTGAATTCCCATCGAGGCCTCTCAGGCCCTTCGAGAACCCCCACATTCGGCTTCCCCGCACAGAACCCAGAACCCTCAGGCTAGGGCCAGCCCCCTCGCCGGCGTTTCACAGCCGGGCATCCCGGCCCCGCGGCTCACCCTCGAGCGTCTCGCACTGCACCAGATTGAGATAGTCCGCCTGGCTGAGCACCCCGGCTTTCAAGCCGCGCACTAATCCCTCCAAGTAGCCATTGTCCACGTTGAAGTAAAGCTCCGGGAAGAACGACATGGCTGCGGTGGAGGTTGTGGAACCGGAGAACCCCGATCCACAGGCAAGCCGCGCAACTCGTAGATCAGCTGACTTGGCTCCCGCAGCCGACTGTCAAGCGAGTCAGATGACTCGCAAGATCGTCACGTGATCACAACGGGGCGGGGTTCTGGGCAGTGCCGGTCTTCCGGGTGGCTTCGAACGCACTGTCGAGATCGTGTGGGCTGAGACGGCTCTCCTGCGCCTGCGCGCTGAGGGAAGGCGAGCCTCCGGTCCCCAGCTGGATCTGCTGAGTGTCCCTGGCCCGCCGCGCGGGGGCGCCCGTATCCGTGGAAATTATATTGGGCCCTCTAGCATTCCCGGGTCTGGTGTATCTGGTATTGCAGGGGTGTGCGGAGTAAAGATGGGAGCTATTTATGCTTGGAAATGTTCCAGGCTGTTGAGTCAGCCTTCTCTCGAGGGGAACTGAAGTATGGCAAGGGCAGCCTTCGCGAAGTGTCACACATCGTGTTAGCTGCAAGTAGGTCCTGCACCCTAATGCCTGTACGCCAGCCAGAAGTTAGTTGCAGGCCTTATCCTGTACTGTGCCCTCCACCCCTTCCCCTCATTTACTGTACAAGTTTCTTGAGGGCGGGAAAGCGGGTCTCTTCTGCTTCCTTCAACGGTGCTTAGTGCCCTAAGAGCGTGCATGTAAATTAGATGATGGAGTAACACAGGCCCTGGGGTAGGGGTGTGTGGTTTCTAGGTTTGGCTGCATCCCCATCCCTGCCATGACCTGCCCCCTCCAAAGGCCACGTTCGAAATAATGCCACAGCCTTGGAGTTGGTCCCAAACTTTATTCACTCCCCCGTCCCAGCCCCGACTCTGACGTTGACCAGTTAGGTGCGGCTGCAGGGGTTCACAGCAGTACCCAGCTTGCGGCAGTAGCAGAAGGCATTGAAGAACCGGCAATAGCACGTGGCACATGGGTCACAGCACGGTACTTGGTGTCCCAGACAGGACTCATGCAGCCGCACGCAGCGGCGCGGGGAGCGTGGCTCGCGACCTTCCGGATCCAACACCTGCAGGGATGTGGGAGTAAGGGCCTCTGAAGGCAGGTCCAGGGACCTCACCTGCCCTGATTCAAGTGGGATGGCAGTGGAGCATGGGGCTCTGCAGTGTCGTTCCATGTGAGGAAGCCATGAAATGGAGAATGGGGATGATACCTGATGTCCCCTCCCCAGGCCTGTGGCCTCACCCCTTTCCCTGAACAGTTACCTCTGCCAAGTCCTTGGTCTCCTGGAGCAGAGCCTTTTCTGCCTGTTCTGCAGTTGTCCTCTTCAGCCCAGGACTCAGGCCCAGGCCTGGGACAGATGATGTGAGGGCAGAACACATACACCTCCCCTCCCCCGTGCACAAAACACCCACCTCCCAGCCTGGGATTAGGAAGGGAGAAGGAGGGCTCATACCACAGAGAATAGTTTGTGGCCAGAGGATTCCAGGCCCCACCCTGACCCACCCCTGCCCACACTGACCTGACAGCTCTGGGAACAGGGCCTGGTCAGGCCTTCTGATGCCCTCCAGGGGTGCCAAGCTCATCTGGACGCCCTGCACGGCAGGTAGTGCCAGCAGGAGGGCACAGCTCAGCATTGCAGTCAGCATGGCCTGGCTCAGCAGGAAGACCCACCACTTAGTCCCTTCTAATCCTTGGAGCACCTTCTAAGTGCCCAGGCCCTGAGGGAGGCCCCCCAGAGAGTAGGAGTCTCTGCCCAACCTGGGGACTTACTTCTGCTTGCTGGATCCTTGCCGGGAGAATTCCTGGCCACTCTGTGCCCTCAGCTTATATAGCAGGGTCTAATGAAGGGCCCACATGTGACTAATCCTTGTAGCCAGGGCATGAGAGGCCCTCCCCAGTGTGGGGGGAGGCATTAAAGTTCAGGCCTCTCTCTCTGGAATCTGAGCTTTTGGGTGCTCTACAAGAGGGTGTCCATCTCCAATTATGGGTGAGGTCTCCAGGAGCCAATTAAAGTTTGGGAACAAGATAGGGTGACCAGAGCCCCCCAAATTTCTACAGGCCAGGGATGTAGGGGGTGGGCAGACAGAAGCCATTAGCAGTAACAAGACAGGCGGCCCTGAGAGCTTAATTTAATTTGTGGCCCCGGAGATGCTCACTCAGATGCTATGTGGCATGTTGTTTGTTTTGTGTCCAGGAACATGGGTCAAGGACATTGAATTGGGTGATGGGCCAGGGGCCAGAGTGGGGCAAAGAAGGGGTGCATACGTAGATCCTGGGGTTTTTTGGGGGAAAGGAATGGAAGAAGCCCTCCTAGCCAACACAGGTGCTCCTGCTTCCATCCCTGGCTCTGCCTCCCCTCCTCCTTCTCCCTCCAAGCTTCTCCAAGACCCCCACCCCTTCTCCTGTGCTCAGATTCCTTTCTGCCTGGGGTTCCTGGAAGCCAAGTAAGCAGAACAGATTGTTCCCTGGGTGGGCGAGCAGCTTCAAAGTAAAAAGCTTTCAGGCCGCCAGCTTCATTAGTGCTAATGGTTGCTCCCGTCCTCCCTGCGTCGGTAGGTCTCCGCCCACACCTGGACTCATCAGCGAAGGCTGCGGTAAGAACAGCTCTTTTGTGGAGATGGTAGGACACACAGGACCCCTGCCTTGCCTCGCCCCTCTGGAGGGCGATTTATCACACACCTTCCCCATCAGAGAAAGGGGCGTAGCCTGAATCAGCTTCAAGGCCTCAGTGTACAAACTGGGCTGGCCCAGGCTCACACAGGATATTCTAACCAGGCAAAGGCCTGAGCAAGTTCTCTCAGCAGCAGGTGGGTATCGTAGGTTGTCATCTGGCAGCCTTCGACCTGGTGTCAATACCGACAATTGGCGTTGGGGTACAGGTTGCATGGGGAGGGAAGCCGCGTGGCAGCTTCTTTCACAGGTGGACACTGATGTCTAATTCTAAGATCAGGTTGGCATTGGGTTCACCTATGGTTGGCTCAGGGTAACTGTCTTAGGGGCTCAGGGGGTTACACTACTGCTGAGGGTGGGGGCGCTGGTCTCCCTTTCTCCCCTGAGAAAGGTACTGGCTGTTTTGGAGACTGTCACAAAGCCAACTTGGTGTCAAGGCCTCTCTAGACATTGCGATTTCTCCCCTGTAGGCTGTAGCTGGGTCCGGTGGCCACCCCAGGGCTTCCTCTTCTCAGAGTGGTGCAGAGTGAAGGTGCCTGGCACCCATGTGTGATCCCATCCTGGGGGGGCCCCTTGGGGGTAGGAAGAACAATACATCAGATATACCTGAGGCACGTTCCCCAAGTCCTTGGGCTCTTGCCCCATCCTTGGAGATTCTGGCTGAGGAGATAGTGGTGGGGAGGGAGAAGGGACTGCTTGTGGATTCTAGAAAGATGCCCTGAGTGAGTTGCGGTGGGCCTGGTCAGTATCCATGCTAAGGGCAGCTCTTCGTATTCAAGGGTGGGGCCTCCTCCCACTCAGGCACTCAGCGTCTTTACTCAACTACACAGCAGTGACTGTCTTCACCTGGGTGTGCGTGCAGGTGTATCAGCCCCATGAACAGTGACAGACCAGAGCGGAGGCACTCACACGAGCAGTCTGGGTCCCTGATCAGGTCCAGTGGGCGCGACACTCAAGAAAACTGACCATCAAAATGCAGCGGGATAATCAGAGGAATATAAACATTGGATATTGATGATACCAAAGAGTAATCACTGCATTTTTATAGTGATGATAATGGTGTTATAGTTATGCTTTTCTTTCTTTCCTTCCTTCCCTCCCTCCCTCTTTCTTTCTCTCTTTCTCTCTCCATCTCTTTCTTCCTCCCTCCCTCCCTCTTTCTTTCCTTCCTCACTTCCCTCCTTTCTTCCTCCCTTCCATTCCTTTCCTCCTCCCTCCCCTTCCTTCCCTCCTCCCTCCCTCCCTCCCTTCCTAGAAAGGACTTGTCCTGACTGGTGTGGCTCACTTGGTTGGGCATCGTTCCCCAAAATGAAAGGTTGCCGGTTCAATTCCCAGTCTGAACATGTGCCTGAGTTTTGGGTTTGGTCCCTAGTCAGGAACCTATCGATGTTTCTCTCGCTCTCTCTCTCTCTTTCTCCCTCTCTTCCCCTCTCTCTAAAAAGATATAAGTAAAATATTTTTTAAAATTTTAAAAGGATTCATCTTTTAGAGAAACATAGTGATATATTTACTGATAAAATGATCGGAAGCCTGGAATTTGTTTCAAAGCAATCCAGGGTGGTGGGGATAGTGGACGGTTATATAGGCGAAACAACATTGTTCTTGAGTTGGTAATTGTCAAAACTGGCTGATGGGTAGATGGGCTTCATTATCCTATTACTGCTGCTTTTGTTTATGTTAGAAGTTTTCCCTGATGAAAATTAAAAACAAAAGAAAATTTTAAAAATGCAGTGGGATAAGTGCTTTGATAAAAAGAATGTCCCAGGGGCATGTGGCACCAGGATGGGCCCCTACCCTAGCCGGGGGGTGGGTAGGAAATTAACTAGGGAAGGCTTCTTAGGGTAAGGAGACCTTTATGCAGTCACGATGCTTGAGCAGGAGTTGGGGAGGTTCCAGGCGGAGGACGTTCTAAGTTTCCTGGACCTATAGCTGGCGCACAGTTTATTAAGCTGCCTAATTATACAGCTTAACACTGGCACGGGCTCTGCCCCAATTCTATTTCCTGCCTGAAGGGCCCCAGCCTGGTAAACAGTCAGGAGAGTTTTCTTTCACCTGCAATCGGGGAGTCAGCTACCCCCAGAGCTGATTCAGTCCATGGGTCGGTCTGCAAACAGCCGTTGCCACCTTCACAGAGTCCAGCTCCTGTTAGTGTGCACAGGCTCAGACCGTAACAGCGCTCGTGCCACCCATAAACCCAAGTGGAGTCCAGAGGTAGAAATCAACATTTGTTCATGCTCTTTCTCACCCCACCCTCCTTCTGCCCTCCAGCAGGTGTCACCCACCTCTCGACACCACTGAATTGGCCCAAAAATGGCCTACGGGTTTCTTGTTACAGCTCTCTCGATATATCTATCTGTATCTATATATGTGAGTGAATTTTTCATTGGCTTATCAAATTTTGTTAGTTTTTGCAAGTAACCAATCTTAGCCTTCATTTATTAAATTGTGTTACAATTAAGTGTCTATCATTTTCTATTTACCTTGGGTTTGTTAGTCCTTACATTGACCTTACCTCCTGACGCACAGAGCTGCCTACCTTCAGTAGGCTACAAGAGGCCCCTCCTCAGGAGCCCATTTCCTTTCTAATACACTGAATGGGTGATTTTACTGGTCAGGAACTGACCCAATGTTCCTAGTGATAAGGGAACTCAAGAGTTAATGATTTTAGCTTCAGTCATAGTTAATAGGCTTCAGTGAGTAATACATGTGGAAAGCTGTCATTCTAGGAAATGAAATGCATGACCAGCTGACTCCAAGAGGTTGAAAAACCCTTCAACCTTGTGCTCCAGGGGGTCTGCAAATGATGGAGAGGGTATCTGAGCCATTATGTTCCAGGGAGGGAATATCTGTGACTCAGACAAAGAATTGTTGATCAACAGGTAAAGAAGTACTAGGAAAATTGCCACCAGACTGCAACTCTTATCCAATTAACCTTCTACCCAAACCCCTTACCTACACTTCCTTCTCTTTATAAAAAGGTCGACTTGAGATGAGATGTTAAGAGTTTTTGAGGGTGCATAACCCACCGTCTTCGCAGGTCGCCAATATCTCAATAAAGTGTCCATAAAGATTCAATCCTTGTCTCTACATATTGGTTCTGGTAGTGACAAGCAGCATGAACACCGACTTTCCCAGTTTCACCAGGAAAATGCTTGTTGGCAAAAGGACCTTCAGAAATATGTGGCATGTTCTGGGTGGAAGATTTGGGGTATCTGAGGGGATGCAGAGCCTATTTCATGAGGCTGGGAACCCCAAACACAAGGACCCTGTTTTCAGGGAGAAGAATGGGGAGAGTGTGAATGCTCTGTGCCAGAGACCAAGTATGAGGACAAGGAGAGGTGCTTGAACTCTCCCTGACTCTTTCTCCTCCTGCAAAGTAGGATGTTGTTCCTAATTTGTCCAGAAGGGGACAGCAGAGCCATAAACACTCAGTGGCTCTCCCCAATCTAGCTTCATTCTAAAACCCAGGTCCCCCTACCCAGAGTGCTCTGTCCCTGCCCCTGTGCGTGCCCCTTTGGCTCATCTGTAAGATTTCCAAAAGGCAGAGGTTGTCTGGAAAGACAAGCTCCCCTCAGTCACCGGGGAAGGGGAGCAGGACAGAGAGGGGTTATTTCAGGCTGGTGTCTTGAGCTCTCCGCTGGAGTGGGTCCCACTGTGATCAGGAGCTCCAAGAGGAGTCTTGTTTGTTGCATAAATCCCAGCACTTGCCATTCTCCCATTTATTCAAGGACTCTTTATTGAGGGCATGCTACATGACCAGCACTATGCCAAGGCATTTAAACTGAGACTAGGTCAGAGGCCATGGTGCTTCTGATTCTGGGGTCAGTTAGGCTTTGTGGACTTGCCTGTTGCCAATGAAAGTGCAGGCTGGAGTCAAGCCAGGGGGCGAGTGGGGCCAGGTGCAGGACCAGCTCCTTCCCCAGGGCAGAACACCCCTTCCCCAGACTGTAAGGAAGCCAGAGATTCTGAGCCTTGTCTAACTCCCTCTCCCTCTCCCCCTTCAGTGCTGGAAATGGGCCCTTTACTGGGGTCCCCAGAACAGCTGAGCTGTGGCTGGAGTGCTGAGATGAAACTTCACAAAACGTTCAGGATGACGAAGACAAATAGGCCCAGCCACTCTGACTCATTAGCTC